TGAACCTACAGTGTGTGTATGCCTGAAACTGATTTTTGTGTATTGGAAACAGAATAATGGTGCAAATTAAGATAATATGTAATCCCAATTTTAGTAGCTCATAATCTTTTTGGAAAGACAGACAATATAAGACAGCTTATTAAATTCAGTGATGGTGGAGAAGATGTCCTTTGGTAATAAGAGGAAATAAGTAATTCTGGACAAATAAATGTCAGAATCTCAGTGGGTTTCATGGAAAAAGGGACATTCTAAAGATGTAGAAATTTTGTATTCAGAGATTAAAAATAGAAAGCAGAATGAGGATAAAGAGCTTCTGAGCAATTACATATTTTTAGGAAGATAATTGGGATAGAAGTCAAGCAGTTAAGTGTGGAGGCTGTTGCAGTGGTGTAATCAAGGAGTGTACAGAGGGCCTGAAGTAGGTTTTCTGAATGTAGAATTGATTGAATCTGCATTTAAATATTGGCAGTGATAGAATTATACATAATAATAAGGTTCTGGTCTTAGACAACTGGAAGGAAACTGTTGCTAACCCAGGAAAAAAAACTAAGAAAAGGCGTTTTATTTTAAAAAATTTTTCAAGGTTCGGCCGAGTGGCTCACTTGGTTAAGAGCTTGCTCAAGAGTGTGAGCTCTGAACAACAGGGTCGCCGGTTCGATTCCCGGCCCGAGCTGAGCTGTCGCTGAGCTCGGGTGGCAAGTGTGGCTCTGCTAAAAATAAATAAATAAAATAAAATAATTAAATTTTTTTCAGGGAGTCAGGTTGTAAAAGGAAATGTGGAAAATACATTTTTATTTAGTTTATATCATTGACTTGATATTGCTCTGTGTGTCTGTGTGTCTGTCTGTCTCCAGCAGAAAGTAGAAAACATGAATGTGTAACTCAAAAAGAAATCAGAGCTAGAGATGTTTTGGGGATAAAGATTAAAGTTGAAACCATGGTAGCATGTGCTGAAAAAAACCATTGAAAGTGTGCAAAGCTAGAACTTAGACAAAAGCTCTTACTGAAAGGGGTTGGTAAAGAAAAGGGATCCTTTGAAGAAGCAGTGAAAGGAGGAGAACCAAGAGAATGTACTATCGTGCTGACCTTAGGAAGAGTATTTGACAAACAGCGCATAACTGGCGTCATGAAAAAGCAGTTTCTTTAGAGTGCTGGGGCTAGAGGTAATGGGATGGGAATCAGGTGACCATGAGGAAATGTATCCAATGGGTATGAACTGCCAGTTGGTGGAGTTTTGTAATGAAGATGATGGTCTTAGCAGGAAGCTGAGTTAAAGAAAGGATTTTTTAGAATGGGGAGATTTCGTTTGTATTTTGAGAGTAATGAAAGGTAAGAGATCTAATCTGTGAGGGGGGTGGGAAAGGGAGAAGAAGGTGATCAAGAGAAGGGATATAGAAGTTAACTGTTCTCCAAGGCAAGATGAACGATAATAGAATTGAGGTTGAGAGAGTATTTATGCCAGGGAACCTCCACATTTGCCTGCTTGGGGTTGGTGTTGGGGTAAGGAAAAATTGTGAAAGTTTGAGAAATGAGATTATTATGGTTTTGAAAGTAGTGAGCATTGTACATGGCATATTTGGATGTTCAGTTAGTTACTCAAGCCCTGGGTTTAAGCAAAAGACATGCCAAGAGATGTTCATATGGTTTTGTCAGGGATCCAGTTGACCATGGTTATGAATAGTTTAGTTGTGAATGTTAGTTCTTATCACCAAATAGTTCTGCATCTCTGCTTTCTGAAGGTCATCAAAGGCTTGAATTTCCTCGAGTGTGATAATGTAGGGCTATGTCCCTAGTACTGGTCATTGAGTTGTGAGTGGACATGATGCACATCAGCCTCTACTTGCTGGTGCAAGATCTCCTTTCTTTTCTGTCACAACCTATACATTGTTTGAGGTGGTGGCTTCACCAGCAGCCTATATTCTTGAGTTGACTACTCACGAACAATTATATGAAAGTACATGAGCAAGAAATGTACCTTTGCTGTTTTCAGCCACTGATATATTGGGGTTGTTACTGTACTAACTTAACCTAATATAGATGACTGAATTTACTTAATTATGGTTAATTGGCCAGGTGGTGTGCTGCTCTAAGGGAATTGGATAATTAAGGATGCTAGCCAGTACATGTTGCAAGTGATTATGTGTAAGTACATATTGCCCTAAGGTTTAAACTGGGTTGGGAAGGTAGGATTTAAGTGAGATCAAGAAAGGGCTTTTGACTGCAGAAACTAGCAAAAGGAAGTAGCGCCTTCATTAGCTTAAATATAATTTTAAGTTCTTAGTTTTAAAGATACAAATTAACAGTCATATTTTGGCATATTTGTTTGCTTTAACGTTTTTTAGAGGAAATAATTCATTTTCATACGTAAAAATAGTGTATGTAGCTCTGAGGACTACTCCCATTCATCACGTAAAAGTATATGTTTTGCATTCTGATTCCAATATAACTTTCTAAAATGGTCATCAGTCTTTTTCAAGATTCTAAGTTAAAAATAAAGTCATTGCCGTAGATCATCCTATTGAATCCAAGTCCATTCATTATCACAGATAACACTTGTAGAATAAGGGACCAAAACTCAAAATTAATTTAAACAGCATTGGTTTTGAAAACCCATCATTTGTTCTCTTTAGGATTTAAAAACTGACTTAGTTACTCTATAATTCTTTAAGCTTTTATTCATTGTATTTTTCTCTTATATAGGTAATTTAGTAAATCACCGTAGAATTCAAGTTTTAAAAAATTGAGCACAAGTCTGCAAATGCAAGTCAAAATAAGGATCCAGTTTAGAATTGGCATTTTGTAGTTTATCATGTGCTCACGTAAAGTGAAAAAAGAGTTAAACTTCTGTCTGATAAAAATGTTTCAGACTTACATTGACTGTATATTCAGCATAAACTTCAGTTTTCTGAACTTTACTTAAACTATTTCATTACACAGCATTTTCATTTTTACTTGAAAAAATTCTGGATCACGAACTCTTGTTTTTTTATTCTAGATTCCTGGATTTTGTGAGAATGAGAAAGGTGTCGTCCCTTGTAGTATTCTGGTTGGCTACAAAGCTGTGTACCGTTTGTGCTTTGGCTTGGCCATGTTCTATCTTCTCCTTTCTCTATTGATGATCAAAGTGAAGAGCAGCAGTGATCCTAGAGCTGCCGTGCACAATGGGTAAGTTCTTGAATACAGTCATGTACCGTTTAATGATGGGGATACATTCTGAGAAATGTGTTGTTAGGTGATTTCGTCTTTGTGCCAACATCATAGAGTGCACTTACACAAATCTAGATGGTAGAGCCTATTGCTCTTAGGCTACAAACCTGTATAGCATGTTACTGTACTGAATACTGTAGGTAAGTTGTAACATTGTTAACTATTTGTGTATCTAAACATAGAAAAGGTACAGTAAGATATGGTATAAAAGATGAAAAAATGGCACACCTCTATGGGGCAGTTACCATTAACGGAGTTTGCAGGATTGGAGATTGCTCTGGATGAGTCAGTGAGTGAGTAGTGAGTGCATATGAAGGCTTCGGACATTAATGTACACTACTGTATAGACTACAGACTGTTTACTTTGGCTATAAAACAACACGAGATTAAATCAAACACAAGAGAAGCTGATGCAGTCAAGAGACATGATAAACAAGTTGTATGAGGCTGCTGCTAACATAACAGCATAACTTTTTTTATAGCAAACAAACTTTTTTATAAATAGAAAACAGTACACTCCAAAATAATAAAAAGTATAGTGTACCCTGAAACTAGTATGATACTCTATATCAGCTGTACTTGAAAAATTTTTTTAAAGTATAGTATGCATAAACCATTGACAGTCATTTATTAGCACTATCAAGTACTATGTACAATACATATTGTATGTGCTATACTTTTACATGACTGGCAGCACAGTAGGTTTGTTCACACCAGCATCACCATAAACGTGAGTAATGCGTTGCTCTGTGATGCTATCACAGCTACAGTGTCACTAGGTGATAAGAATTTTTCAGCTCTAGTATAATCTTATGGGACCAGTGTCAAATAGGCGGCCCGTCATTGACCAAAATGGTATTATGTGGTGCCTAACTAAACTTCAGTATAAAAAGCCTGGGTAGCCTCTTCTCGGTAATTTTCAGTCTGTCGAAAGAAACATTAAAGCAGAATAAACTTACGTAATTTTTAGAGTTATTTTGTTATTCATAAATGACGGTAAAATTCTCGTGTCTACTTGAGAGTGTCAGACTTTGGAAATATAAATGTTACATACCATTGGGTCGTTTATTGGTATAATCTCTGATGCGTAATGTTCTATATTTTCATATTGAAAAGGGGATCTACCACATCAGTAACGGGAGCTTACTCCTCTTTCCCGTCTTAGCTCTTGGTGGAGCAGTCTAACTACAGGAAGCAGAACTTGGTTCCTTAGACCTCCAATGCAGACAGAATGCAAAACTTTATTCCTCAACAGGAATAAAGGCTCTTATGCATTTTCATTTATTCCATTGACTACTTCAGCTCCAGGGTGATTGCTTTTCTAAATGAATGGTTGGTTGTACTGGACAACCTAGAAGGAAACCTCAGGGTCTCTTTAATCTCCTGTAATAATCTCCCTTAATATTTCTGGTACTCTATTTGAATGTGTTGAATTGTATCTCTGTTTTTTTCTCATAAATTAAAGATAAATTTTTAATATTTGCTATTGCTGTTTTATAAATGCTACCAAAGACAGGAAGAGTGAACAAGTGAAATATAAACAGTAATGAAAAAGTGTGCTCTGACAGGTTGATTTTACTTTATCCTGTCCCCTTAGTCATTGGTTTTATTTTTTAGCACTCTTATAACCATTTTTATTAAATATATTTTTAAGCATTTCTCAAAATGCATTACAAAATGGCAATCACAACCATTCTGACTCTTCTCAAAGTAGCATGCATATGGCACTTTTACAATCATCTTTGTTAGATGTACTTTTTTAAAAAATTGAGATATAATTGATGTATAGTATTATATAGGTTTAAGAGGTACAGAGTGTTGATTTTATATGTTTATATATTGGAACATGATTAAACACTACTCACAAAAATGAACTAAAATGGAGTCCAGGGTGGTTTTCAGTCAGATGTCAGGCAGCCAGGATGATGGATGCCAGGTTATGCGGAAGATGGGTGGTAAGATGTCTGGTCATGCCCCGGTGGTCTGGATAATGGATGTCAGGTGGATATCTATGTGAGTCCTTTAGGAGATAACTAGAAGGATACGTGGAGGTCCAGAAGTATGTCCAGGCAATGATGCAGGGCTGGAAAGTTCAAAAAAGTTTCAGTTCCCAGGTGAGTTAGAGAATGGCTCAACCTTCATAATGTTAATTTTAGCAGCTTGGTTAAAATGACTGCTGAGAAGTCCTCTGATTGCCTAATCGGAGTTCCTTTGTATATTACAATCTTCTTTTCTCTGGTTGCTTTTAGGATTCTCTCTCTAGCTTTCATTTTTGAACAGTTTTATTTTATAACGTGTCTTGGAAAGGGTCTTTTTGCTTTGAGATAATATGTGATATATTAGCTTTGTGAAGTTGGGTATCTAAGACTCCAGATTTGGGAAGTTCTCAGCTATTATTTCTTTAAATAAACTTTCTGCCCTCTTTTCTCTCTCCTCACCTCTGGTACTCCCGATTATTCTAATATTTGAGTTCCATAGATTATGTAGACTTTCTTCACTGGTTTTCACTCTTTTTCTCTGTTCATCCTGATTGTATCATTTCAAACTGCTTGCCCTCTAGATTGCTCATCTCTTCTGCCGTATGATCTGCCCTGTTGCAGAGGCTCTTTGTGGTTTCATTTATTTCGTTGACTACTTCAGCTCCAGAATTTGATTCTTTTTTATGATTTCTGACTCTTTACTAGGTTTCTATTTTTGTCCATGTATTTTTTTCCTGATGATGAATTGTCTTCCTGTGTTTTCTTGTAGCTTGTTGAGTTTTCTCAAAACAGCTATTTTGAATTCTTTATCCGCTAGATTGCAAGATTCCATGCCTTTGAGCTCAGTTATTAAAGGATTATTATCTTTTGGTGATAAAATATTTTCTTGATTATTCATGTTCCTTGTAGTTTTGCATTGCTATTTTTTGGTGTTTTTTTTTCCTGTTTAAAGTAGCAGACACCTCAGATCTTTACCAGCTACCTTCAAATGAGGTTTACTGTTCACTGATCCTGTTATATCTGGGCTTTTCTCTGGCCTTGTATTTCTATACCTGCTCCATACTTCTTGCCTTATTTTGTGACAGAATATTTAAGCTTTTACATCTTCTCTGGTCCTTAAAACTCACCTGGCTGGCTACTGAAAATCTCTTGTTTTCCAGAAGGTGGCACTACAGCTCAAGTTTGTGGTTCCTCGTTTGCTCACAGATCACGGTCCATTTTTCTCAGAGCACTCCCATTACTGGACCTGTGCACACAAGGAACTTGCCAGAGTGGCAGGGTGTGGATTTAGTACTTGGTGTTTAGGGTCCTACACAGCCGGCAGAGAGGTCCTTGGCTGAGGTTTGCCCATAGGCTCATGGTCAGACTTCCCACTTAATTAAGTCCTGAGCACAGTCAGCAGGAACAGGGTTCCTTTAATGCTCTTTATCTACCTCTTCCCCCATCGCCTTTCTCCCCTGAGTCATGGAGGCGCTGTGCAGTCTGGGTGCCGCTGGAGAGAAAGAGGTTTCTTCAGAATTGCCCTGCAGAGCTGGGGGAGCCAGTCACACTCACTCACAGCTCCCCTTTCCCCCCACAGGAGAGGTCGCTGCCAGAGCGTGTCCACACTTACCTTGGTGGAGGGACGGCACTGGCAGAGTTCCTCTTCCCCTCTCTGTGGCATTGAAACTCTTTTTTTTCTCACATGGTGTGTTGGAATCTCCCCTCAGGAAGCCTGGACTTTTACAGATTCTCTGTTGTCTGTGGGTATTTGCCCTCGTCAGCACTCTCCAGGTTTCCCCCGACCACAGCTAAGAGGGCTTGGGGCAGGTTGCCGGTTCTGCCACCCATACCAAGGCCTGTCTTTCTGTTCCCAAATGCACAGGTGGGCAAGACTCCTCCCAGGCGTTTGCCATCTGTTGCTGCTGGATCCCACAAGTTCCATAGAGACACTTTCGTGGATGAATGCCTAACTCGTTGTTAAAAATAGGGGGACAGAAAGTAGGGACGTCTTACACTGCCATGAAGCCGATGTCCTAAAAGCTGGTTGTTTTAAATTATTATCAATTTTGCAAAGATCATTTACCATGAGTTTTTAAAATCTATTTAGTTGTACAGTGCGCCTTTCATTTTCACATATTATCACACTAATTATAAAAATGAAATGGAACTGATATTCTCATTTTATTATAATGAATTAGTGATCCACATATCTTTCTTAAAACTATCCCGAAACAGTTCACATCGTAGTCTTTACTTCTTGTTTTCATTATCATCAGAAACAGTAGAACAGTCACATAAAGTGTAGCCATTCTTTAAGATGCTTTTAAAAGATTTTATTTATAAAACTATTTGTTGAATGAATATTAATAAAAAATCATAACCTTGTCTTTTTTTTAGATTCTGGTTCTTTAAATTTGCTGTAGCAATTGCAATTATTATTGGGGCTTTCTTTATTCCAGAAGGAACTTTTACAACTGGTAAGAAATCTTTTCTTTAATTGTATGATGTTGCTCTTTTATAAAGAAAATGAAATAATTGCCTGGAACTGTAACTCTATTTATTATTTTATTTTTTCCTTCTGGGTGGCAAAATCAAAACATTTATGTAAAATTTTATTTTCCCTTTTGTGTATTGGGATTGTGAAAATGAAATAATAAGAACCGAACTAGCCTCTCAGCTTTTTGTGTGTGTTTTTTCTTTCAGTGTGGTTTTATGTGGGCATGGCAGGTGCCTTTTGCTTCATCCTCATACAGCTGGTCTTACTTATTGATTTTGCCCATTCATGGAATGAATCATGGGTTGAAAAAATGGAAGAAGGGAACTCAAAATGTTGGTATGCAGGTAAGTTTTTGTCTTACAAAACATCTTCAAGATAGTGGAATTTTGAAGATAAGAGTAGATATATAGACTATAGGAAAATCATGATTTTTATGGTGTTCAATGAAGTTTTTACTTGAAAGAGTTTGAATGGTTTCATCTCACATTGTATCAGCAACTTACTTGTGGAGAGAGCTTTTGGCAGATTCAATGAAGAACATACCCAAGAACCAGGGAATTAGTCCAAAAGATCCTAACTGCTAAACTAGATGTTCTAAAGCCTATTACTCAAAGTATGTACATTTTATAGCCTAATTTCCTAGTCTAAAGCAGGTTAAAAGTAAAATATTAAAGGGACTAGGACTGCTAGAAATAGATAAACAGTGGTATAATTCATAAACATAAGCAAGTAGAAAAAATATAAAAAGCAACTCTGAAACACTTTATATAAGTTTGAAGGATGCCTTTATGTGTATCAGTGACATTGAGGGCGTTCTTATAGTATTGTCATTAATGTTTATTATAATGATGAGCTTGAGTCCTATTGTTATACTGTAACACAGATGAAGATTCAGATGCTTACAGCAGGTAACAAATGTGGGGGCAGAGAACCAGGTTTAAGTTCATATTGAATCCTTGTGAAAACAGCAGGGACTGTGGTGAATTGGAGAACATGAAGGCCCTATGAAGTGCGTAGCCACGCACATTTCCACCCAGTAGTTGCCTTGTGCAGATATGAATGTCGTGTTGCCTAATTTTTCTGATTTTTTTTTCAAAAGAAGCCATAAATCTATATTTTTATGTGAAATTATCTGCGTTTCAGCTAAAAAGAATGATACCTTAAATCACAGTGAAAGCTAAATCCAACGTGTCTGCTAGGCTGATACTTCTCTCACACAACTAGTTTGTGGTATTTGATCGCAGTGGTTAAAATAAGGAGAGTTGGGTATTCAGAGAGAGAAGCTTTAGCCATTTAGAAAATTCACTTGTACGGAATACCTCGGTCTTTAGTGCAGGAGTTTCCCTTTTGTCCACTGCTGTATCCCCAGGGCCAGGAACTGTATGTGCTTCAGTAAATATTTATTGGATGGATTTCACTGATGAGGCATATTACATAAATATATGTATATTGAGCACACATTAGCACAAAAACTAAAACACATTGTATATGTTGAAATTTACACAGAAGAAACTTAGGTTGTCTTACTAAATAATAATAACTTACTCTTGCATAACAAAAATGTTTTAAAGATTTGAGTGGAGGAAAAGCATCATTGTTTTATGGGTTTAGCATTAACAATGAAAATAAATTTGTTTCAAATGCTTTTGTTTACAACTGAATGATTATGGTTCTTTAAAAACCTTAGGTAATATTCCCCTTGTAGTTATTTTTCTGTGTTTTGAAAATAGTGGTTAACATACATGAATGTGTTTTGTAAACTCTAATATATTGCTCAAAATCATATTAGTATGTCACTAACTTGAAAATGTATAGTAATAGTGAGCTGTGCATAAAGACTAAAATTCTTAGGTATAAAGTTCAGAATTAATATTCCTCCCTGCTTTTATAGCCTGCATAATGCTGACAATGTTAGTTGCTTGAATATATTTTTGAATAAAATAAGATTCTTTTTAAAACAAGGCCAATGCCTAATTCCTAATATTTGTGATAAAATCTAACTGTCCCATTATATTTCTTTCACAGCTTTGTTATCAGCCACAGCTCTGAATTACCTGCTGTCTTTAGTTGCTATCGCCCTATTCTTTGTTTACTATACTCATCCAGCCAGTTGTTCAGAAAATAAAGCCTTCATCAGTGTCAACATGCTCCTCTGCCTTGGTGCTTCTGTACTGTCTATACTGCCAAAAATCCAAGTATGCCCTTTATATCATTAGTTTTTATGAAGCTTCTGTTTTTCTTAAGTTTTCCTAAATCTTGAATGATGTTAAAATATTTATCCCTGTTACTTACTTTTTGTAGGAATCACAACCAAGATCTGGTTTGTTACAATCTTCAGTAATTACAATCTACACAATGTATTTGACATGGTCTGCTATGACCAATGAACCAGGTATGTTTTGTTTGCTTGAGGTTTTTGGGGTTTTTTTCTTTTCTTTTTAATCAGTGCTGCAACTTATTTTTTTTTCAAAGATGGTAATTTTCTCAAATTAAGCTATTTAGAAATTAAGCAAGACAAATACCATATGATTTCACTAATATGTGGAAAATAAAAAACAAAGAAACAAAAGAACCAACTTATAGAGGCAGACAACAGATTGGTGGTTACCAGAGAGCAAGGGGTGGTAGAGGGCAAAGTGGGTAAAGGGGATCAATTGTGTGTGACATATGGACACTAGACTTTTGGTGGTGAGCACCGTGTAGTATATGCAGGTGTTGGATTCTAATGTTGTACAACTGAAACTTGTTATAACTTCTTTTAAAAAAAGAAAAAAAATTAGTCGTATGGAAGTAATAATACCATTGTCATCTTTGATGTATTTCTATATTTTTTTTACTTAGTTTCTTTCAGTAACAAAATTACAAGAAATTATATGAAAATTCTAAGAAATATACCTAATTTGCATAGTGCATATGATGCATAGAAAAAAAAAGCTGTTTGAATGCGTGTTCCAGTTATAAACAGTATGGCTTTTTTCAATTATGATATTTTTGCCTGACTATCTTGCAAGTGAATGTAATTGGGCTTGTAGCAAATCTCTTTATAGGCCTGTTACATTGCATTCCATGAGAATAGAAGCCAGTGTATGTCATTTGAGATGAAATAAATTAGTTGACGAATTACTATTTTTTTTAAAAGAAAATGTTTTCTTTAAAAACAGAATACAAAATATGTTATCTGAATCTCATTTTATAGAGTTTACAACTCCATATTTTCTTTATCACTAGATGAAGAAAGCAATTTTTTTGGTTTGTTTTTGTTTTTAGTATGTTCGGGAAAGATTATTAATTTTGTCCAGGTAAGTGGTTCGAAAAAAATTATTAGTTATTTGATTTAGAAATTATCCTTATTTGAATGGCTTTAACATAAAAATCATTTTCATTAATAAGATGGTGATTGACATATCTAGCTTTGTGGAAAGAGAAAACATATTTTGGACACTTTAGTGAATAGTTTACCAATCCTTTAATTCTTTCTTCCAAGAGCTAAGAGACAGAATAAGCATTATGTCATTAATAATATCTCAGCTCCTGCATGAGGTTGAAAGTGATATTATTTAACTTTCTCAAGCACTTCTGTAAAATTAGCACTATAAAATTTTAAAGGTTTCTTTATTAATATAAATGCAAGTTGTCTTAAAGTATGTTTTTGTTATACTTGTGCCCTTTTCCAGCAAAACTTTGAATTTGTGAGGGTATAAAGAGTTAAAAAGAACTACGATTACATTCTGAAAAATAGTGTTTTTATACTATTTTAACATTTTAATTTGGCCTTCATTTACATTACAGAAACAAATTGCAACCCAAGCCTGCTAAGCATAATTGGGTACAATACAACAAGCACTGTCCCAAAGGAGGGACAGTCTGTCCAGTGGTGGCATGCTCAAGGCATTATAGGACTAATCCTCTTTTTACTGTGTGTGTTTTATTCGAGGTAAGAACATTACGTTGTTGTTTTTTTTTTTTAACAAAAAGCCCAGCGATTCATTTATGAATTTTTTTTTTAAATGCTCTTTTTCTTCTCTCATCCGAAACTGTCCTTCATGCAGTATCCGTACTTCGAACAATAGTCAGGTTAATAAACTGACTCTAACAAGTGATGAATCAACATTAATAGAAGATGGTGGAGCCAGAAGTGATGGATCATTGGAGGATGGAGACGACGTTCACCGGGCTGTAGATAATGAAAGGGATGGTGTCACTTACAGTTACTCGTTCTTTCACTTCATGCTTTTCTTGGCTTCCCTTTATATCATGATGACCCTTACCAACTGGTACAGGTACTTATATTTTATGAAAATTTTGCATGTGGAAATTCTGATGGCTTTTTTGTAATTCCATTGCCAAACATGGCGTGAAGTACTTTTTATCCTCCAGTGTATATCAGAATTTACAGCTAAATGAATAGTGGATCATTGTGAGAAATGCAGACTTTACTTCTTTACTTTTGCAGTTACAAACATGGAAATATCTCCAAATCTTGAAGAAATTAAAGAGAAATTTTCGTGAAGCTAACATTTCTTACAGAAATATATGTTGATAGCTGATCCAACAGTTTCTATTTTTTTTAATACTGTAACCAATTCCTGACAAAATACAGTAGATAGCGCGTCTGTTTTGTTCAAATTTTGTCATTAAAAGCTCTGAAGATTTCAGAATTGAAGTGTGAATATATAAATGTAGATGGATCCTTAGAACTCTTCAAAACTTACTTTATGCTTTTTTATTACTTCAAAACTATCCATAAATCTTTCTGGTTAAGAGGAAGGTACCAATTTACATTATTTTATTTTTGAAAATTGTAATTTTGTCCAAATGATGACTGAAAGATTTGAGATTCAAGGTGAACTGTATGGTTTGTGCTGTTCTGTTTTTAAAAATTTTTTTTTTAAGATTTTTATTGGGGAATTGGGGGAAGGGGAACAGACAAGTTGCTGTCCTTTTGTTCTTCAGTCTAGTTGTGGAGGACGGCACTTCACTGGCCCAAGTTGGCACCATCATTGCGCTTTTTCCGGGCGAGGCAGATCAGTCACCGGCTTATGGACAGCCGCTCACGCTGGCTGCTGGCCGCTCACACTGGCTGCTGGCTACACACGGTAGCCCATGGCAACCCACTGCCACAGGGGTTGCAGCCTACACTGTCGCCGGCGACTCACAGCAGCCCAGCTCCCGGTTGAGCTGTTGTTCAGCATCTTAGCTGTGGAGGGCAGTGTCACTGGCCCTCATATGTGGGATCTGAACCGGGACCCTCTGGTGTCCCAAACCAGCTCTTAACCACCGTGCCACTTGGCCGGCCTTGTTTTTAATAATTTTTAATGCATAATACCCTTAACAACTTGTAAGAAGACTGTGAATACCAGCAAAAGATAGAGAAAAAAGATGATTTTTTGCCTCATTTGAGAGTAGCCTTTAGTGGATATTTATTATTGAAAAATATACATTTTAAAAAATTTCTATACTGCAACATATAAAGCTATAAGAATCCACATAGTTCTCAATAATTGACAACTTTGGCTCTCAGGTAATAGTAAATATTACTACTTTAGATCAAAAATATTTTTGGTATGTTCCATTAACACAAAAATCAGCTAAATTTGGAACATATTTACTTCCCAGTTTCTTAAATTTGAGGTGTGGGTATATAATCTGCTTTGAACAGATTATATTCTTTATACAGGATAGGACTGGTAAGTCTTTTGTATTATAACGTTATTTATCCAGAGGTCACATTCCATTTCTCTGCTAGCTCATAGCTACTAAGCCAGAAATACATGAAGAGCCTCTGAGTATTATATAAAAGAGCTACTTCAGAGGCCTCTGTCCTTTACTCCTTTAAATTACTGATTTTTACCTTCACATTCGCTACTAGCACAGTATAGAAAGCAAGGCAACAGACTTAGCAGCTATACGTCTGTTATCAAATTATGTACAAAGAACACTTGTGAAGTGATGAAGTTTAGTAGCTCGATGACTGATAATCCAAACCCTCCCCATTTTGTTTCCCTTACAATTTAGGTATGAGCCTTCTCGTGAGATGAAAAGTCAGTGGACGGCTGTCTGGGTGAAAATCTCTTCTAGTTGGATTGGCCTTGTACTGTATGTTTGGACGCTGGTGGCACCGCTTGTTCTTACAAATCGTGATTTTGACTGAACGGGACTTCTGGCATGAAAGTCTCACTTTGATCATTGCTTATTTGAAATTAGCAGTATTTACAACTTTTGTAAAGTTGTGTATGCGTGTGCTTCCCATGAAACTTCTCAGTGTTCTAGCATGAATTAGATTTTACCGCTTGCCATTTTATTCATTATATTCTTGCGCATTGATGTGTGTGTTAGAGTGAATCACAAAGGTTTTATGTGTATGGTGGTAAGTTAGGAAAAGTGGACATTGTTAGGTATACCCAGTGCTCTGTACCTTTGAAAACCATAGTGAAAAACAAAACTGTATGGCAATTTGATTTTTAAATTGTGTTAGAACCTAAGCTGTCTTAGGAAGTATAAAAGGAAGCATACGTCTGCCTTTTGAAATACCTAATGCCTTGCCCTACAGGAGACTGCAAAGAACATGGCTATTTTAAAATTGTATAAACAAGTCACTTAAATGCCAGTTGTTGAAAAGTCTTTTCAAGTTTTTCCCTTGATAGGATAGGAAATATACAGGTAGGGAGTATTTGATGGACAACAGTATAGCTTATGATGGAGATTGAGACAGAGCCTTCAAAGAAACTCAGATTGGTGGTGATGGCTACTAAACTGAATACTCAATTAG